CCTTCTTTTCGAACCTCTACACCCTAGAATCAACCTGTATGCCAAAATTGAGCTTCATAAGTTGAGTGGTTTGAGCAGGATTGTGATTAATCAGTATGTCAGTCACTTAATGATTTTATATATTAGCACAGATAACACATAATTAGTGTTATCTAATTATGTGTTATCTGTGATATTAGTATAGATTATAGTGCACACGCAATTTATAAAGAATAAAAAATGCAAAGTTAATAATTTTCAGGGATATACAGGTTTATTTAAATATATTTTTACTCCAAAGTTTTGTCGTTTTTAAATGTGAATTTGCTGTATATTTCTTCACTCAGTGAATTCCCAATCCAAGAATATCATGTTATAATCTATACCGAGTGGTTTTTAGGAAATACAGTAAAACCTCTATTTTCGGACACCTCTATAAAACGGACACCTCTAATCACGGATGATTTTATTTTCACGAAATTTTACAATACAATTTGTTTAATATGTTCACCTCTAAATAACGGACTCTCCATATAATAGACATGGTAAGTCTGGCGTCGCACGTCGCGTCGCGGTCGCTTCGGCTAAACGAGAAAATTTAATGTAAATTTACCTCTTACTTTCGGACAGATTAGATCACACCGTCTCATTGCCGCCAAAATGTAGAGCTTTTTACTATGTGCAAAATTACCCCGGACCAGATAAATATAATGAAATTTTTATGCAAAAAAATATGCAAAACTTACTGCTTGATTTAAAAACGGTGCATTTTCTTCTAAAACGAACAAAAAATGCAAAATATGCGTGCATTTTTGCCGTGCCCTAATTCCGAAACCCCATTAGGCCACACGCCACGCTGTCCCACGTGGGCCCGTTAGGTTAGGTTTGGACGTGGGAAAGAGCGTACACATGAGACCTGGGACAGGCGACACACGTGTGATAACGTGGGATGGCGTGGGGTGGCGTGTTGCCTAGTGTTTACGAAATACATTTAATTAAATGAAGAAACATACGCACATATATTCATGACGTGGGGTGGCATGACGTAGCGTGGCGTGGCGTGTGGCGTAATGCGGTTCTGGCTTAATTATGACATATCAATAATTCTTGAAGCCTCACAGAATTTGTTTTATGGTGCGTTCATACTGACAAATAAAATAAGAAATAAAAAAATCATTTTCACCTGCGCAGTACAACGAAGCTGGATAAAAAGTTATTTAATAATTGTTTATAATAATTTTACCATAGGTATAATTATTATTTATCTGATGCTTAATATATTGTAAAAATAATAAAAACAATTAAAAAACTATGCACAGTTAAATAGCTTATATTACGGCACTAATAACATATATTTGATATCCAATTAAACTTTTAGTTACGTAATCGAAGGCGCGATTTTTAAATTCATTGTTGCCAACCATAACCAACCATATTCGGCGCCGGGTTGACTAACTGGAATTTAAATTTCGCGCTGAGGATTCAAGTGGTAGCTCTGCTCAGTGCCTTCTATTAAAAGATCAGCCTTCTATTACTTCATCAGCTGTACATAGATTCCGTTCCATATGTTGTCGGTTGATTTTTGGTTTTAACTCTTTGATTTTTGGTATTATTTATTATTGTTGTGCAAAAAACTAATTATTTTGGTGTTTAAGTGACATAAACTACTAACAGATATATGGTCACTCTCGGTTTCGCATAAAAAAATAGAAAAATTGAAAAATTACACGTTGTGTCAGTGATTTAACCTAAAAGTGCCCATACATTTTTTACTTATCGTGATTTTTGTGTGTGTTTTTTAAGACTCTTACAATTCATCAATAAAGCTTAAGTGGAGTGTGTTTTTGGTGCTATGCCTCATCTTTGTTGTGTTCCTGGTGGAAAGGATAGTTATACTAGGCAGCCTAAAGTGTCCGGAAGAGCAAGAAAAGTGGGTACGAGTTATAAATCAAGAGAATTCTATTGAAAATATCTTTAATAAATTTAAAAATAATATTCTCCCATGATGGTATTAATGAAAACTGGACAATAATGTTTATTTTATTCATATTGTGGAATCTCCACTCCAAGTGTTGTTGGTTCAGCTTCGATAGATTCAAACACGTAGGTAGGTATTATGATCTAGGGAAAAATAAAGAATATGTGTATTAAAGATCATGAAAAAGATTATTATTTTGAGTTCAAATTTTAAAAAAGATTTTTGTAAAGACAAGACTGATACAGTTTAAAATAAGAATGTGTTTTTGTTTGATAATATATAATGTATGTCAAAAATAACATATATTTATTCAGTAATTTTTAATGAATAGTGTTGATTATTTATAATACCAAATTAATATAAAATATTTAAGTGATGGCTGAATACAATATGAATAAAATAACAATAAAATTGGTATATTTGCATAATACAAAATTAAGTTTTAAGAATAAAGGTGTTACTAAAAATACTAAGAAATTCATGTTTCTTTGTTTTAATTGATCTAATGTTATTTACATTTTACGTAAGAATTATACCATATCATCGAAAAAAATCGGCGTCTAGTTGGCTTGGAAATGAACATCGATGACATTCCCTAAATAACTGTACACATAAAATAATTAACTAGAATTTTACAATCTTGGAAAATCTGGTATTCTTGAACCTTGTTTCTAAATATTCTAAATTTTTTGATTTTCTTGGGATTTAGGTTCGGGAAAAACGCTGATTTAAGTTTTCATTTGGTTTTTTATTATTTTTATTTGGTTTAAAAAAAACGTTTCGGCTAACATTATAGCCTTCATCAGTGTTGTGTCATATGAAAAAAATAGTGTCGAATATAATCCAAAAAATTACATATAAAATATTCACACCACGCTCATAATGTTTACTGCGTACTCCATGGTCAATGTAGATAATTTTAGTGTTAAGAATAATAATTTTAAGTTATATTAGTTTATTAATTGCAGTAAACATTATGAGGTGTGAATTATATTGTATATGTAATTTTTTAGATTATATTCGACACTATTTCTCTCATAGGACACAACACTGATGAAGGCTATAGTTAGCCGAAACGTTTTTTTAAACCAAATAAAAATAATGAAAACTTAAATCAGCGTTTTTCCCGAACCTAAAAATCCCAAGAAAATCAAAAATTTTAGAATAATTTTACATATAAAATGCCAGCGATCTTCATTTCATAGCCATCCCTGACGCCTTATTTTAGATAATATTGTATTATTTGTAAATATAATTTTTCGAACATTGATACTTGCAAAATATACATATAAATTTTGTGAATTCAAATAATAATACATCACTATTAGTAGATATTGAATGTTTTTTGTTAAATTAGATCGATTTTCAAACCCCAAAATTTAAAATATATTTACATTTTACCCATTATCTTATGTACCTCTACATTATTTGTACATTGTAAAACATTTGCTGCATTTGTCTAGTTAATAATATATGCCAAAATTGTCCAAAAATTCTATTTAAAAATAAATAGAATTTCTTATGCTAAATACCTCGGAATAAATGTAGATCAGCACTTGAGATGGAAGGAACATATTGATTTACTCAAGAAAAAAGAAGTATGTTTCATAAGTTTTATCAATTGAGGGAATTTTTGGAAAAGAATCTTTTGATTACTCTGTATTATAGCCTTGTGGAATCTATTCTCAGATATTGTGTTATTGTTTGGGGATCAAGCTTTAATAACATTATAAAAAGTCTTGAAGTTTGCCAGAAAAAAATACTAAAAATAATCTTAAAAAGGAACAATGGATATCCAACCGAAAATCTATTTTTAGAGGCTGAGGTATTAGATTTGAGATGTCTATATGCTCATTCTATTGTGATGTACCTTTAAAATAAACCCGAATTACGGAGTGTACAAAATCATAACTACCTCACAAGAGCGGTAAGTAGTAAAACTCTCAGCGTTCCATGTTTTCACAGATCTCACGTACAGAGAACAGTACTTTATTTTGCACCTAAATTGTTTAATGTAATTCCATATAACGTACGTATAATCAACCAGCAGAAAAAATTTAATATTCTTTCAAAAAATACATAACTGATAATAAAAGTGCGGTACACAAAATACTTGCATTGAACTAAAAATAAGTTTTAAAATTCATGTAACATATAATATAATTATATAAAATAAAAAAAAAATAAAATAAAACATATAAAATGTACATCCCGCTGGCCTCTCTCATCCCCGCCAATTGCCGCTCATTATTTGGGACACTTGTGCTTGTTTTATGTTTGTTTTAGTGCAGGAAATTTATGCACACTGGGTTTTTGAGTTTTTTTTTGTTTCGATTGTTGTAGTTTCAGTTTGCGTATTTATTGTTTTTTTCTTTCTATTGCACCTATGATTCATTTCTTTGATATAGTTATTACTTATTTGTTAGAGTGTCTAGCACACAGAGCAATTGAATTTGCTAGGTGCTATGAAACTATAAATATGAAACTATAAATGTAAATGTAATGTAACACTGTATTTTATCACAAAAGTGAAGGGTACATGTCTCAAATACATATACCCAACTATTTCAAAAATAATTAGTGACCATATCTTTTTATCTTTATATCATTTTTTTTAATTTTTGCCCCTTACATAAAAATCAAATCTTCAGCAAAAATTTATTAAAGAATATAAATTAGAACTTCAACCTGTATATGGCATTAAACTACTTTTACTAGCAAAAATTAAAAAAAAAAATTAAGTAATTTTCTAAATGCATTCATTAATGATTTACACAGACAAATTCTTAGGCAAGTATACTATTAAGTTTCGTGAACTGTGAGACAAGTACATATTGTATATAACCATCTATGATTTATTCCAGAAGCTTAATTGAATATTTTTTTTAATATAGGTAAGAGAATATAAACATTATAATTTGTATGGTTCATGGTTTATTTGCCAAAGTATTTATTACTATAAATAGGTATATATGTTGTAGTTATTAACTGTATATTATATTTCGTATACTCGTCCAAATAGATATTATACATGTAGTTACACTATTCTTACTTTATCGAGCACATTTTTACAAAGAGTGAATCATAATTTTTTTTCTCTTATCATCCTTGCCGCTGCACGCCCGACCTGGTTGAATCATTACATTATTGTGCTTTATCGAGTACGTACAGTTCGGCAGCTAAAATGCCAAAAAGACGTAGATTTACAAGTGAAAGTGATAGTGATGAGCTAACTTCAGAAAGGGCACGGTTAAGGCGAAAATTAGAACGCCTAGAAACGAAAAGAAAATCAAAGGGAAAACAAATAAGGCGTCGAATTATCGAATCAGACAGTGATGATTCAAGTGGAAGTAAGTAAAACCATGGATGGGGTTACACATTGCTGTTAGTTAATAAGTAACCTATTGTCGAGTTATTTATTAAAAAGACTTAATTAAAACATGTGTCATATAAAAACTTATAATACAATAACGCATACCTACCTAAACATCCGACTGCCGAGATGTGGGGTAAAATCCTTTCCTTCTTGTCTTTTTATTTAAATTACCTTTAAGCAGCCGACTGCCGAGTTGCCTATACGTTATTTTTTTAAATAAATAAATAAATTGTTATAAAAAGTAAATAACAAGAAAAATTACAAAACCTACAATACAATAACGTATACCTACCTAAACATCCGACTGCCGAGATGTGGGGTAAAATCCTTTCCTTCTTGTCTTTTTATTTAAATTACGTTTAAGCAGCCGACTGCCGAGTTGCCTATACGTTATTTTTTAAATAAATAATATAAATCTCAAACACCAAAAGAAACTGAACTAATCTATTTTACTTTTTCTTGACAATAATATAAATTGTAAATACGGAGATATGCTCAATGACAAAAAACGTCGTAAAAAACTGCCTAGAGAATCCGTTGTTGTTCTCTGATATGGGACGATTTCATAACAGTTGGGTCGCTTCAGATAATAAATAAATTATTATAAAAAGTAAATAACAAGAAAAATTGTTTAATGTTATTCTTTGGATCGAAGGCAAGAACTGCATGAAGTGCAGGTTCACAGGGAAAACGAAATCCCAGATAACCTATGTGAAGAAACCCTGTCAGTAGTGCCTGACGAAGTATTGAAACTTTTTGGTGAGGAGCCTTTAGGAGATGAACCAACATGGGGGGAGGAAGTAAAGTCCATTATAGCAGATCGTTGGAATAAATACTTGGTTCTTGGTATTACCAAGCAAGAAAAGGAGGACTTGAAAAAAAAGTATCCAGTGCCAAAAAATATTAGATTTTTACAAGGTCCGGAGATAAATCCAGAGATATCAGAGTCCATAACTGATGCTCAGAAAAATCACGATAAATACATGTCTATTGTACAGAATCAACTGGGAAATGGCTTATCCGCCTTGGCCAAAGGCTTAAATGCACTATTAGTGGACAAAGCGAACGCGGACGTTGGCTCCAAAGTTATGCCCTGCCTTATCGATGCAGGCAAAGTGATTACTGATGCTTTTCATATGATAACGAAAAGCAGGAAATTTCATATTGAAGCTAATCTAAACCCCACGGTTAAAAAAATTGTTCGTGATAGCAAACCCGACAAATTTTTGTGTGGAGAAAATTTTTCGGAAAAATTTAAAGAAGCAAAGAACCACCAACGCACTGGAAAAGAGTTAAAGTTTGCTAAGGCAAATTTTGTAGTAAATAGGCAGTCGTCTTCCACCACCTACGCAAGAAGCTCAGGTCAAAGTGTAAGGAGGTCCTTAGGAACCAGCCGACTTTAAACTACCGAGGAGCCTACCACAAGAACAAGGTGAAACGGACACCACCACCTCGGACCCAACGAAGGTACCCTGTGAAAGCACCTTATTACCAGAAAGGGGGATATCAAAAATAATGGAGGTGAGTGCATATGGTGGGACGGTTAAGATATTTTACCGAGGTATGGAAAAATATAACAAACAGTATAAGTATTTTGTCTTGGTTAGAGGGCTATAAAATACCGTTTAGGGAAAAACCGATTCAGGGTCATAGACCTATAGTAAGTTTACTTAGTGCATCAGAAGAGCGAAAGGTGGCCGTGATTATACTTAAGTTCGAAAAACAGGGCATAATAAGTCAATGTTGTCATAGCAAAAATGAATACATATCCTCCTTCTTTTTAGTTCCAAAATCTGATGGATCCTCTCGATTTATTTTAAATTTAAAAAATTTAAATAAGTTTTTGGCTCCAGTGCCACATTTTAAGCTAGAAAACTATAAATCAGTAAGAGACCTAATTTATAAAAATTGTTTTATGTCAACCATAGACCTTAAAGATGCTTATTATATGATACCAATTAGTCCTAATTTTAAAAAGTTTTTAAGATTTGAATTCAACGGTCTACTGTTTCAATACAATGTAATGCCCATGGGGTTATCCTCCGCACCATATGTATTTACAAAATGTTAAAACCGGTACTAAATAAACTTAGATCGTTAGGGATTTTTTGTGTTATGTATTTAGATGATATTTTTGTTATTGGTAGGACCCAGCAAGAGACGCAAGACCATGTTAAAAAATTATTTATTTGTTAGAACATTTGGGCTTTATTATAAATTACAAAAATGTAAATTAATTCCAGCAAATACATGTAAATATTTAGGTTTTATTTATAACAGCGAAAAGCTTACTGTAGAGTTACCCATGGAAAAGAAAACTAAGATAATATCGTTAGTTACTAAATTACATAATAAAGAAAAAGTATCCATTAAAGAACTTTCAAAGGTATTTGGCACATTAATTGCTGCATGTCCGGCCGTTTCTTATGGGTGGCTCCATATTAAGAGTTTGGAACGATCAAAATACCTAGCCCTTAAGAAATTTAATACATATAAAGCCCAAATCTTAATAACAAATCAAATTAAAATCGAACTAAAATGGTGGGAAAATAGTATTTTAAATTCTGTTAAAAATATAAACATGGAAAATTTTGATTTAGAAATATTTACTGATGCCTCCAATACTGGCTGGGGGGCAGTATGTGGTAATAACAAAACTCATGGATTTTGGGGTGAGATTGAAGGAAGTCATCATATAAACTACTTAGAACTTTTGGCGATATTTTATGCGCTTAGGTGTTTTGCCTTAAATAAAAGTCACATAAATATAGTGTTTCGTGTCGATAATAAAACAGCCATAGCATATATCAACAAAATGGGAGGCATTCGATTTCAAAAATTAAATAATCTAAGTAAAGAAATTTGGTCTTGGTGTGAAGAAAGAAATATATTTATTTACGCAACTTATATCGCTTCCAAGGATAACACAGTAGCAGATATGGAATCACGGTCAGTGGCAATCGACACTGAATATTGTTTAAATATGCAATATTTTCAAAAAATAGTTTTTGACTTTGGAAATCCAACAATAGATTTGTTTGCAAGTAATATAAACAGCAAATGTACAAAATTCATTTCATGGCGTAAAGATCCGGGAGCTATAGCATCTGATGCATTTAGCATAAACTGGGGAAATTATAATAATTTTTATGCCTTCCCTCCGTTTTCTCTTGTTGGTAGGGTACTCAATAAAATAATAAGAGATCAAGCAAAAGGTATCTTAATTGTGCCTTTTTGGCAGACTCAATACTGGTATCCATTATTTTTAAGACTTTGCGTCAAAAAACCATTAACTCTACCGCCGAATGAATTTTTATTATTATCTCCTTTCAGGACCCCCCATCCGCTTTGGAGACAATTATCCCTAGTAGTAGGGAAATTATCAGGGGATCATTTCTAAAACGAGGCATTCCTGACGCGGCGATACCAATATTGATTGATTCAATAAGTAAAGCGACTTTTAAACAATATGCAGGAACATATAAAAAATGGTGGTTATTTTGCCAGCGTAATAAGGTAGACATTTACCAGGCAAATGTTGGAAATATTATTGCTTTTCTTAATGACCTTTTTTTAAACAAAGCATCATATACGACTTTAAATACTCATCGGTCAGCATTATCATTAATTCTAAATTACAGTAACGGGGATGAAATTTTGATTAAGAGATTCCTTAAGGGTGTGTACAGGGCTAAGCAATGCTTTCCAAAATACAAGACAACATGGGACCCCCAGCCAGTCTTGGAATATCTAAAGAAATTATACCCGTTAAATACACTTTCTTTGGAAATGCTTACAAAAAAACTCGCATCGTTATTATTATTGGCAACGGGACAGAGACTCCAAACTATTTCTAAGATTAAAATTCAAAATATTCATGGTATAGAATCCTCAAAAATTAAAATTTTTATCACAGAAATACTTAAAACATCAAGTTATAATCGTCAGCAGCCAGTTTTAGAGTTCAATTATTTTACAGAATGTCCGGAGTTATGTGTAGCGAATACATTAAAGGCATATTTGTTAAGAACAAGTTCATTAAGAAAAGATACTGACGAGTATCTTATGCTTACATTTAAAAAGCCCCATCATATAGCTAGTTCCCAAACTATTGGCCGTTGGATAAAAAATATATTAAAAATTAGTGGAATTGATACAAACAAGTATCATTCTCACAATACGAGACATGCTACAACCTCAGCGGCTTTTAGGAAGGGAATTGGTATAGATCAAATCAAAGATACTATAGGATGGTCTCAAAGCTCGCAAGTGTTCCAGAAATTTTACAATCGGCCTTTAGAAGGCAATAAATTAAATTTTGTAGAATTAATTCAGGGAAATAATTAATAATTTTTAAGATATATGTATCTCAGATCTTTCATAATTATAGAAAATAAATGTTTATGTAATATTTTGTTTACCTGCTAAGGTATTATACTTAGGTTTAAGTGTTGATGATATTTTTTTTTGATTGTGTTTTTTGTTATAAACAGAAGGTAAATAAATTTAAGGTTTTGCTTACTGGGAAATATTAGAATTATGTTTAAATATATTATATTTTTAGAAATTTCTATACATAACTTGTTTAATTTAACTGCCAACAAAAAATAGAATTTTAGGGCCTTTAAACATCTACATGTATAATATCTATTTGGACGAGTATACGAAATATAATTTTAAGAACAAACGACTTACCTGTAGGAAGTTCGTTCTGAATTATATGAGTATACTCGTCCAAATAGATATGTCCCATACCCGGTTAATTGTTAAATCCCACCCGAAATTCTATTTTTCCACAAAATGTAATGATTCAACCAGGTCGGGCGTGCAGCGGCAAGGATGATAAGAGAAAAAAAATTATGATTCACTCTTTGTAAAAATGTGCTCGATAAAGTAAGAATAGTGTAACTACATGTATAATATCTATTTGGACGAGTATACTCATATAATTCAGAACGAACTTCCTACAGGTAAGTCGTTTGTTCTTAAAATTATGTATATTTCATGTAAACTATATCATTTTTAAAATACAAACCAAAAATCTGAGGAATAATTATGTTTTCCATGTATTCTACAACATATTTATTAATCCGTTATATCTAACTAGCGTGATCTCGCCCGTAGGCTGATCTTTTAATAGAAGGCACTGCTCTGCTGTAAAAAAATGTCAAGTTGCCACATTTATTTATTTATTTCTTGACATTGTCATTCGTTTTGACACTATAGTTCTGTATATTATAACGAGTTTTTGGTTTAAATAATTAGTGTTGTGATACTTTAGATTAAAAATGTTTACTAGCAGACCTTGTGTCTTTTTAGAACCTCTTTTAGTGCGAAGTGTACAAGATAGCTTAATAGACGTAAAAAACTCATCCCAACTTTACTAGAATATTTTAAACGGGAAAGCGGTAATAATGACGCTTTATGTCCTTAAGTGCTGTTAAGTGTTGTTTAGTCCTTAAGTGCTGTTAAGAAGGTGAGGTTTGTTAATGTAAATAATAGCTGTTTATATATTTATATAATAATAATAGCGGCTCTGGTGCACAATAGGTCCCACGCATTTAACACTTTTTTGGGATTTTTTTGCAAGATTATCTTAAACTGAATATTTTTAAGCATAAAAACTGTGGGATGAATGTGTTTTATCTTTAAAAAGCGGCAAAAAAACGTATTTTAGGTACAGGCGACGGACAGTAAATATGTTAAATTTTCTACACGGATTCAGTAAAAACATCACATATTAGTACTTTATTACCTTATATAGACGTGGAATGATCTAATTTAAGCACAAAAATGTAACGAATCTTCTTTGTAAGCATAAAAATTAAGAAAATATATTTATTTACATCAGCTCAAGCTAGCAATTTTATGACTTTTTCGATTGACAGTTAATCGATCATCGGTATGTCATCTATGGCCTTCGCATAGAATTTGCGACGTTGTCAATAAAATTACTTTATATGATTTTCTTCTGAAATAAAGTTGTTGTGGAGGGACTTAAAACGGTAAGTTATCACTTTAGTGCAACAAAAATTGAACTGTCTAGTAGCTTATTCGTTAGTGTGGATTATTTTAAAGCAATTTCTGAAATAAAATTTGCGGATTTTTCAGGTTCTACGAAAATATAAGTTTAATATATACTGTTTTTCGACGCGTAATCAATGAAGTTTTGTCATTAGGCTCAATTAGGTTAGCCTGGTTATTTGGAAGGTGGTAATGCATTGGTTAGCCTGGTTATTTGGAGGGTGTTAATGCAATGGTTAGCCTGGTTATTTGGAGGGTGGTAATGCATTGGTTAGCCTGGTTATTTGGAGGGTGTTAATGCATTGGTTAGCCTGGTTATTTGGGGGTGTTAATGCATTGGTTAGGTTAGGTTAGATAGAAAACAAACTACAAAAATGATATTAAGGTAAAATATTTAATTATTTCCCAATCCGATGCTAATAATTCCAATAGCAAATGGCAAGTGCACCAATTACATGTGCACATGAGCCACCTTAATATCGATATAATTAACACCGCTAGAGTGTCTATTTGATAAAGATTGCCTCAAAAAGACAGTGAAATTTCCTAAAGGCATTATGATTTGAAGGAGGATGTCCAAAATAGGCCCAGAAAAGTATGAGGTGGTAGAAGGCATAATTGATGCGTCAAAAAATTTTGAAAAATATTCTTGTGTCAAGTGGGAAGGACAAAGGTCTTTGTAACCAATTATTCTGGTAAAGACCAGGACAATAATTTTATATTTCAATAAGATGGCCGGGCATGCCATACAGCTGAAACTACTAAAAAATGGTTTAGGGACATGAACATCAAGGTCCCCTCATGGCCTTCGCACAGTCCGGACCTTAATGTTATCGAGACATGTGGCATAAAACAAAACAAAAATTGGTGCCATGATTCCCAAGAAACCGTTGCCCATTTGACGATGATATTAAGTGAATTATGGCAAAATTTTTACTCTGGCGTATGTCAATCGTTAATAAAAACAATGCCAAACAGGCTTGCAGTGGTTGCAAAAGTTTATGCCGATGTAACGCCATATTAGAACAGTTATTTTTTAAAGCGTCCGAACATTTAGTTGTCACGATATTGCGCAATCTTTTTGTTTATTTATTGGCCTACAGTTTATTTTAATGTTTATAGAAACTAAACTATTTAAATACTCATTAGAAATGTTAGATTTTAATATATTTTTAATGTATTTCTTAAATGTAAATAATTCAGTTAATGAAAATAAAAAATGTTAATAAATTTTTGTTTGTCCGAACATTTTAGTTGTTAGGGCTCGTACAAGGAAGGTAGTGTGGCTAGCACTACGCTTCAACCGCCTATTATTACCTCATGATTGTGAATCCCAAGTACTCATTTAAGGCTGAGTCGACCTAGGTACCCAAACTATTTTTATTTTAATAAAAATAGTCGACTGATGAAATGCCGGGTGTAGGATTCGAACCCACTACTTGAGATTGGTAGACGAGAGCTTGTACCTCTGCGCCACCGAGTACCACTTATATATTTATAATTACTTTATTTTTGTTTCCTAAAATATTTTGATTAAAAGAAAATATATAAAAGTGGCCAACGCTGTGCCGGTAAGCTTAATCACGTGATTAAAAGTTTATTTCGTATGAACTGTAAAATTTGTGTGTTTATTTAAATACTAAAGTGATAGCCCCCCCCAACGGATTTTACTCATTAAACTGTAATATATCTTATTAAAAATACAATGCCAAAAAATATAATAACAATTCCTTCAAAGTAATTGAATATCGAGGTTTTTATAAGGCACCCCACCTTATTTAGTCTAGAAATAAGGAATAAGGACGATTTTTACAGATCGTATCGAAAAAGTTACAGATTAATCTTTATTTAATTAAAACGATAGAAACCAACATAATATATCTTCTTGTACTATTAAGTGGTTGGTACTTATTCAGAGGTTTTTAATGAAAATAATATCAAATTATTAATTAATCAGTCATGGAAAAATTAACATAAACACAAGCAAAGAAAAAAAAAATAGGTAACTTAAAATTCACATCAAACAACATAAACCAACTTAACTGAATTTGAGGAAAAGAAAAGACCTTAAAATTTTTAACTAAAAATGAAAATATCCATTAAAACCTAACATAAAATATAACTAATACATTAGACAACATTATACTGAATAATAAATTAACATATTTAATTGTTTTGGAGTCAATAATTACTAATAAACATTATAGGAACTTCAAAAGAACTTCATAAGTAAGTACAGTTAAGAGATAGCATCATTACTATTACTCATTTAGAAGAGTTTGATTTCGACCTCTTAGAAAGTATCAATGAACTTTTGCATGTACCAAAAATATTATTTTAATTATTAAAAAGTAGCGAAAGAATAAATCATTTAATAATTTATTATTTATAAATAATAATTAAACATTTGGAGTCCCGGTTCTTTGTTGTCTCAAAAGAGCCGGGAATTTCCGGTACTTTTGGTACCGGGATTTCCCGGTCTCCTTAGTGAATAGACTACAGTATCCGTAAATTTAACAGCTAAAATGTAATTACCAAATTACCTATACTATACCGGGTGCGCCTCAAAAGCCGCTCACCCCTATAACTTTTTTATTTTTTCAGATAAATAAACGAGATTTGGTATGTTAGTATATGACATAAATTAGGATTGATTGACGTTATCAATTGTTTTCGGTCATTTCCTGTTTTACCGGAAATTACTACAACTTTTGATTTTTAAATGGCACCCCCGGTATATTTTTACTTTATTGGATAGAAAATGACATTTCTGAATAGAATGACATATTATGTCAACTTTTGACATTTTTGCTTAAAACTTAATCGCATTTTAAATTTCAATCTAGAGTGTCATGGCTGTGTTAAAAACACTAATTTTTAATCAAGGAGCCTTAGAAAAGTAGATTTGATCGTCTAATGTTTTTCGTGTCTTGTCCTGGCCGGTTAAAAGATGTCCAAATTGTTTTTTTAATCATACCTCAATTTTTTCAAATGGATCAAGGGTGGCTCATTAGCATATTTGGAAAAAGCATTTTTTTACGAATAATTTGATACCACACACTTGGTATTTCGAGTAAAATTGTCGTTATGAACCGTATGTTACAATTTCAAATAAACCATAGGCGAAAATGTCAAAAGTTGACATACGATATGTCATTCTATTCAGAGTGTCATTTTCTACCGAATAAAGTAAAAAAATATCTAAGGTGTCATTTAAAAATCAAAACTTGTTGTCATTTCCGGTGAAACAGGAAGTGACCAAAAACAATTGAATACGACCAAACCAATCCTAATTTATGTCATATTCTTACATACCAAATATCGTTTTTTTATTTGAATAATTAATTTTAAAATTTATTATATTAAAAAGTTATAAGGGTATACCAGCTAATTTTTTACCTTTTAACTTCAGGTATCTGAAGGTTCCATTGAAACAAAAGGTTTTATTGTGATTGGAGAAATGTTCTAGCATCATATTTTGGTACTGTTTTTAGTTTTCTTTTCTAATATGTTTGTTAAACTTTTAATAGCATACTGTTTGTTATTGACATGATCTACATAGTGTATTAAGCAAAAAAATATATTTTTATTTGAATGTAAATACTACATAACCGCAGACTAACATAACTTAAGATTAATTAAAATTTTAAATGAGCCATCTATTAAAATTTCTCCTTCGCCATTATGTCATGAAAACATAAATAAAATGAATTATGAATCAATTGAACGTAAGCTCATTCTAGGCCGGTTAGAGGTTGCATGTGTATAGTTGGTACACCTGTGTACACTATTGTAAACATTCACACACACACACACACACACACAACAACCACACCTGCATCAGTGTACACTAGTGTAACTGCCCTCCAGAGTCATCAGTACGGTAAGGAATCAGCAAGCGATGACGAGCCCAAAAAATAGAAAACAGGAAGTAAA